ATGGTAAGATTTCATTTTTTCTTCCTCAAGAAGATTTTTATCGGAGGGAAAAACACTCTGGTAAGCCAAAACCATCAAACGATGTGATGGAAATCTCATTGCTCACACTGTCGGCTGAAGTCTGCAACATTTTGTCAAATGTAACTTGCCCATTTTCAAGGAAGATAATTAAAACTTTGAACTTCTTCACTTGTGAGTTAGGATTAAACCTCTACAAAAGTAGTGAAGGCGAGGATTAGGAAATTGCTACCATAACTGAACCCAATCATAAAGAGTTACTTCAAAATTCTTATTAATCGTCCTCCCCCCACTTCTCTGCTAAGAATACAAAAGTTCCTCTTATCACAAAGCAAAAATCAATTTTACAGGCGCATCTTCAGAAACAGAGTTACAGGAGAAACAAAAACAAACACTGAGGAATTACAGAAGGAGTGAAAGATATTTGGGTTCTTCTTTATTATCAATTAAAGTACAAACAGCTTAACAAAAATCGCAATTATAAACTTTTACTTAATACTGATAAACTCAGATGCTTGCACTTTCCTGGTGCTAGTTAGTGTGAATCACCAGTAAGTCACTTATTTACTAACCTGTAAGTATTTTAGACATTTATATCTCCAAAACAACAAACTCCTAAACCAAAAACTGCTTCACCCTACTGGGAATTACCAGTGTTCTTAAATATAAAATATTCTCAACAAAAACATTCCCTTACCATGCTTTCAGTATTTACTGAATGTTCACCCACCATAAAACAGGCCTCCTGCCTCCCTACCTTATTCTCTCCCCACCCAAATTCTTTTGTAGGGAAAATTACTGACTAACGTTCATGTGACAATATCAGGGTTTTTTGTAAGATGAGAAACATTTCAAGAATCACAAGCATTTAAAAATTTCTCTTCGGTTATACTAACAGTAACTCAAATCATTTCAGAGGATGTTTTCTTTTAATAGCAACTGTAGTAAAAAAAAGAAAACTACCAAGTGCCTACCCAATGCAGCGTTAATTGTGATAATCCTTATCTCATTTCATTAAAAATCTTGGGAAATTTTGGCTTCACTTTTGGTTTATAACTCAGACTCTGTCCTGTATTTTTCCAGTGACCATGTAATGTGCATATGGAGGTCACCATACCTCCCTCAGAAAGAATGCAGAGAATTATACCCTCCAAGTATCTCCCCCCACCCGCCACACACACACACTTAAAGTGCTTGAAAAAGGACACTAGAGTTCTACAGTATATTTGAATATCATAAAATCTCCTTCAAAGCTACAGGTCATAAAAGATTCCCAGAAGCCAAGTCACACATAACAATAATAACAGATGTTTTATTAGTTTGTTAACTGCTTTATCCAGATTGATAGATTAATTTTTCACAATAATTTTACAATATAGGTCCTAATAATGATCTCCATTTTATAAAAATGAAACTAAACCAAGGAGGTTAAATGCCCAAAATGACTGGTGGCAGTGGGATTCAAAACACAGCCTGACTCCAGCTTGCAGACTCCTAATTCCCTATCTACCTACCAACTATCTCTCAACAAATACATGTACCTTCCAAAAATACACAGCACATATATCATGGGTGTCTATCATCTTTTCTCTTTCCCATAAATAAAGAATATAAAAATCTGATCAAAATGTGGGGCTGGGGTTGTGGCTCAGAGGTAGAGTGCTCGCCTAGTATGTGTGAGGCACTGGGTTCGATCCTCAGCACTACATAAAAATAAAATAAAGGTATTGTATCCACTTATGACTAAAAAATAAATATTAAAAAAATCTGATCAAAATGAACTATTCTAGGGCTCGGGATATAGCTCAGTTGGTAGAGTACTTGCCTTGCATGCACAAGGCTCTAGGTTCAACCCCTAGTACCACAAAAAAAAAAAAAAAAAAAAAAAACTATTTGTTTGAATCAATAAGCTATACTCCTTAATGTAACTTAATAGTACTGATTATTATTTTTATATAAAACCTGCATCAAACTTGATTATGGAGAAGTTTCTTTAATTCTTCGGGGCTAGGGATATAGCTCAATGATAAAGCGCATGCCTAGCATGCACAAAGCCCTATGTTCAATTCCTAGCACTGCAAATAACATCTAATTAAAATAAAATAAAATATCCTTCCTTTTAATTTCAACAAACCAGGATCAAGATATTTTCTTCATGGACAAACCAGGTGAATAGTCACTTCCCCCAGTCTTCCTCATTCTTACATTCTTCTGATTTCTTTTGTATCCTTTCTTTGCTTGGTTGTTTCCAGAATCCATGATCTATGCCTGCCATATCTAAGATTAGCAGCCAACTCAAAGCCCCACAAATGAACATAAATCTGGCTCATAATCAAAAAGTGAAGCTGTTCACGACTTTAGAGAAATCTGGCCATCTAATCACTTAGAGATCATCATGCTCACACCCAGAACAATGGGCCCCTGACACTGGTCCTGCCCCATGACACAAATCAGTTACTTGCCAAGGGAGGCTCTATGCTGCTCTGTTATTGATGGCAGTTGCCTCCTGTTCCTTGTGCCCTGCCCACGGGTAGGAGACAGTCCAAACAGGCTATCTTCACCACTGGATAAGTGGAATTTCAGCTTCTCTCCTGCCCCACTTTGTGCATAGCAAGGTTGTGGACACATGGCAAACACACCACCACCTTAACCTATTCTCTCTGTTATACCATCTATGTTTAAGGAATTAAACCACAAGCAGCAACAATAAAGACATTTATTACCAGAAAACCAAAGGAAATATAGTTCTTGGGTTTCATACCTAAACTATACTCAAAAAGTCTTTAGATGCATCCTCTGCTATGCTATGCAGAAAACATTACAAAACTCCTGTTGTAATAGCTGGATTTGTAGCTCTACCATGTCATACATCACTTTGAAAAATTTACTACATATTGTAAGGAATTATAATTCTAACTTTTAGTTCCAGAGATTTTTGAAGGTTTTGCTTTGGTTAAATATACCGAGAAAGAATTTTATTAAAAGAAAGCTATACTTTATAAAAAAATATACAAGAGAGAAGGAACAAGAAACAACAAAACAAACAAAGAAACAAACAAACCCAGAGAGAGAATAAATAAAATTACCTAAGGAGGAAGACCATCTGTGATAGTTCCATGTAGAAAGAACATTCAGTAGTGCTTTATGAATGCAATTTGGTCTACTCACAAGTAAGCAAATGTTCTAAAAAATGTGCCTTACAAAGTTTTGACCACTGTAAAAAACACACACACCCTCTCTGAGATAAAAATTTCACAAACCATTACTTACTCATACTAATTACAATGTATTCTGATTTTTAAAACGCTGATGAAGACATGCTAAATTGATTTCATAGCTCACACCAGTGACTCACAGCTCACAATTTGAAAACCTTTATTCTAGATGAATCACAATATGTCAGAATATAGAAAGACAAAGTTGCTAAACTCAACAATTTTGGTAGATTAGTTACACCCTAATAGAAATGCAGGGTGATCTGAAACAACAGTCAAACATAAACAACAGTGCCAAGTAACATCCACACTACAAGTAAACCTTAAAGAAGAGCGAAGTAGGAACACACAAGGGAAAGTAGATACCCGAGATACAGCAACAAACCCATTTGACTCTTACAGACTATAACTATTAAGCCTATACTAAACACTGGAAGAACAAATTATTCAACCCTCCAGTATTTTCTGTGCCATTCTGCTCCTAACTTGATCTTCTATCATAAGTTTGAAATTGCCACAGAGAGTAGGGGGAAAGAAAGTGGTTTATGTATTCCTGGGGTTTGGTACTGTTACCACATTCTGATTCCAACTGCTTTTTTACCCAGAACAGTGCAAACCCAAGACAGGGAAAGGCTTCCTACACCTTGCTATCATTTAAACTAGGGCCATCTATAGGCAACTTCATGGAAGAGAAAGAAAAGAATTCTAAAATTGCCAGTGATCTTTAGCTAGACATCTGGTTTGACCATCATCTAGAAATACTAATAAGCCAAATAGTTTCGGAGGAACAATGGTCACTGAAAAGTAACTCAAGAAGACTAAAATCAGAGAAAGGAAAAGTGAGGAGCAGATAACTTCATTGTAAGTGATGTTTGTTTTTCAGAAATAGAATCAAATACCTTCTGATTACCAGCTGTGTCACCAGAAGTATAAGATTTCTTACGCTGGTAAGAGGTTAGAATAGATAACCTGAAAATCCCTCCCAACTCTGAAAATCTGCAATTATAAGCTTAAATCCCAACATCAAATAACATTCTTTGGAAGTATTAGATGATCAGACACTCCCATAGGTACCCACAGAGGATAATCCTACTGATAGAATACACAATGAAGATCCCACACATAACAGCCCCTTTCCAAATCAGTGGCTATACAATGAAGAAAAAATCACTTCGTTTTCACAATGAAAATGGTTTTACAAGTACATACAAATATCAAAATTTTTCAGACTATATGTTTTAAATATGCATAGTATATTGGTACATCAACTTTGCCTCAATAAAACTATTAAAAAATACTACTGCCATTTTTCCATTATATAAACAAATTATTTCATTACAATGATTCAAAAATCAATATTACAGCCATATCCCCCCACCCCAGTTTTTTTAGGTTTCTCTTTTAAATTTATTTTCCCTTGTTGTCAGGTTTTATGTATTCCTTCATTTCCTAAATCAACAATAATTAAAAAGCATAGTTACCAAAGTTTTTCTGTTGCAATACAAATAATCCATTATTACACTCTAGAATATATCTTTCCTTTAACAACTAATATCTTAGTCTAAAAAAATTCTGCAGATGCCTTAATGATTCCATTTCCTTCTTCCCATTCGTTATGGAAATTCAATTCTAGACCACCCCTATCTCCATGCTACCTCTGCAGGGTTTAGCATTCATTTTCTTCCCTCGTTCCTTCTCACAAAAGTATTTGAAATAAAAATCTGAAAACTACCCCAAAAAAGGAGAAACACCAGTGAGGCTACTCACGTCAGATTTAGAGGACATATTCTCCTCCACGTCTGAATCGTTGGGATCCACGATGTCATCGAATGGCGGTAACGTTGACTTCTTCTTCTCTGATGCCTCACTTTCAATTTTGACTTTTCCCATCTTGACATGAGATTTATCTTTTATCTGTTTTTTGTCAGCAGAACAAGTGAGTATCAGTGGTGGTGCACTAGAAAAACTTTTAAATAAAGCCTCTGAGCTACTCTTTTTCCTTTTTTTGGCTGAGAGTTCTTCAGAATCTGAAATGGGGGGCCTCTTACTAGGAGCCTTCTTATCTTGCTGTCCACTGGTGATGGTGAGTAAGTTACTGTCAGGTTTTGGCTCTTTTGACATGGGTTTAGGTTCCTTGAAGGCCATCTTAGGAACTATTTTCTCTTCTTTCAGTGGTTTATTTTCTTTGGGTTTCTTAGAGGATTCTTTGGAAGATTTGTTGTGATCCCTGGAAGGTTCTTTGAAGGCACTTTTATGTTCTCTGGAGTCTTTAGAAGGTTTTTCCTTGTGCTCCTTCATTAATTTGTGAGGCTTTGAAAAACTGGTACTACTGCTGCTGCTGCTGCTACTGCTGCTGCTGCTGCTGCTGCTACTGCTGCTGCTGCTGCTACTGCTACTACTACTGCTGCTGCTGCTGCTGCTGCTGCTGCTACTGCTGCTGCTGCTGCTGCTGCTGGTATGAATACTCCTATTAGGGTCCTGCAGAAAGGGGAGAAGAAAATCAAACTCTTAAAACTGAACGGCAATAGAGTCAAAAGCCAATTTCCTTGAATTTGATATACACAAAGAGATCCTTCTTTGATTCCTAAAAAATATTTTAATATACTCCAACCACCAAAGTATAACAGGTGGGAACAGTGTATACAAGAAACATAGGGAGAAAAGGTTACCATGATCAAAGAATTTAATGAGGCAAGCTGTTTTCTTAATCATTGAAAGCATAGTTTTAAAACATTTCAATTTACAAATGTTAACTACGAGCTCTCCTAGAAGATACAAAGATGGATAACACATGGCCCTCACTCTCAATAACTATGATTGACAGTTGTTGGAAGACCCACCTTTTAAGTGCTATGACAACCAAATGAAAGGGATATTTAATTCTTTGGGGGCACGAGAAGAAGAATAATTCAGAAGTTCATAGAAAAGTAATATGTGAATTAGGTCCTGGAGGATAGGAAATAATCTGCTAGAAAGAGAAGAATGACCAAAAGAGACCAAGGACCAGAATAAACTAAACAGCAAGGGAGTGAAGCGCTGACGTCATTCGGGGAGCTGCATCGAGCTACACACAGTGATGCCAGTCTGTAAATGACTTTGCAATGTCAAGAATCACAAACACTCAAAAAGAAAATGATTCTCAATTTCAGATAAAAACTATTATTTTTATGCTGTCCAAAGTTCTATCAATTAAGGAATATGTCTCCCACCCATAAGGGTGAAAAAGAAGGAGTCTAACAAAGATTTAACTTAACCATCAAATGGACTGAAGATTTTATCAATTACTTGGAAGAGTTAATTGCTCCTACTTCACTTTAAATGTCAGCAATACTAATATAATATATACTGATATAAACAACTTAAGGTGTGTAACCTGTATATATTCTTTCTGTAGGAACAAAATTCTCAGGCCATACTTACCCTATTTGTGAACCTCTATCATTAATAGTAATAATAAGAAACAGAAGTAGATCCTGGACATGCAAAAATCCACACCAATACTAAAAGAAGAGTGCTTTCTTGCTTACTTCCACCTCCTAATGGAACCAAAGACAAATAAATGTCCAGATTTTCAACTAGAATTTACATCTTCACGCTTATTTTTTTTTTATCTCCAACTTACCCACTTAAGCCTCATGATAGGCAAACTAATCCTATATCCCTTAATATCTAGCATGATACAAGAAAGTCAATAGGTAGGGCAAACACTTTTCACTGAAATGAACAATCTACTACTTACTCAATCTATGGGGAAACGAGAAATTATTGCTCTTAGTGGGAATATGTATTTTTTGTTTCTTACATTTTTTGGTCTAATTTGCTCAACAACAAAATGACATATGCCAAATTATTTCACTTGTTTTCTCAAATGAGCATTTTTGCTTCAAAATTATAAAATGGTAAAGTTACTAAAGTGAAATCTTGCTCTTATTGATCAAAAGTGACAATTCGTTACAAAACATCTTAATCTGAGATTTATAAACAGAATGCTAAAGATAGAATTCATATTACTGAAGCTGCATTATTTTATAAATTCTGTTATAAGACATTTCCTGGCATGTTAAGCAATACTATGAATAATTAAAATAAAGTATAATGGACAAACTAAATTAAGGAAGAACGTTTTGAAATCTAATAGCCTTGAGGTTTTTTTTTTTTTTTAATTGGTTTGTTGACTCTAAATTTTGGTAATTTGCAATCAGTAGTCTAATTATGACTCTAACACACCAAGCACTGCTATTTAATATTCAACCTATGTGGAGTATGACACATATTTTTATAAATGTAACTTCTGAAAATACACTATTTGTAAACTATCAACATATTTCTAATGTTACGCATTAAAAATAGTAATATTTAGAGCACCAGGAAAACAAAACAAAACTTATTCAGGGGTCTTTCCTTGATATATTTTAAAAGCCTTTCTTCACAACAAGCTGAAATTCTTAACACAAGGTACACAATAGTATATGAAACAGATTATTATGTCACAGAAATTCTAAGTTCTTTTCTTAATTACATGCATATACAAAACGCGAGAAATACAAGTTCTTAAAACTTTTTATTCTCTGTAGGTCAAGGTACTTAGTGCTACCTTTTCACCCACTCAACAAATCTTGGTACAAGCAAGTGGCCCAACCCTTCTTATTCCTTCTCCTTTTGTAATTCCTACCTGAAAAAGCTTTCTTTAAGCTAAAAAAAGAATTCAAAGTCAAGAGGACAAATGTATTCCATAACAATGTGCTAGACAAATAAAAATTTAAAAATAACAAAAAGGAGAGAGAATGGTTTCTATTATATAAAACAGCATTTCCTTTGGCCTGGGTCTGTGATAAATGACAAAGTTCAAATATATGCCACCAGATTCCATATTCATACATATAATAAATATGAAACAGTTGCTTAAATATATAGTCAGGCATTAAATTGTTTCTGACACAGAATAAAAACTTGCACTGATTACACACACACATACATCTCCCAAACACATTCATATTCTCTCTCTCTCTCTCTCTCTCTCTCTCTCTCTCTCTCTCTCTTTCACACACACACACACACACACACACACACACACACAATCTAGTCAGTGGCTTTTTAAAAGTTTTATTGAACCATTAACCTCAATATTAAGTGCCACTAAGCATCACAGACTAATTACCATTCAATGTGAAGTTTACACATGTTGTATAATTAAAATTCCCTTTGCCTGAGGCTGATTAGGACAAACTGAATATCAAGCAATCCAACAAAAGAGAACATGTCTGCATAATTCAAATCTCAAATATTTAAGGCAAATGACTTTTTAAATATAAATACCCATATATTTGCACTAACTTTACAATCTGTGAATATAAGGTATAGTATTTTCTTTCATTCATTCATGTCTACTGAAAGCTTCCTTATTTCAATTTCAAACAACAGGTCTCTCTTTAAAGTATAATCTCTTCTAATACTAGTTGTCAGCACTCTTATAGATGGCTTAAGAAAAGAAGAGGTGGTAACTACTAGCCAAAGTAAGGTTTTTGATTATATGTGGCTTTTCAATTTCCATGTTATCTCTGTGTCTTCTTCCCACTGGTAACTCAAAGCTGATTCAACTCCTGTTTCCTTCCTCTCTGTCCGACTTTAACTGGTTTCTGCATTGTGCAAGATTTTCACATCAATCACATTTTGTTCAATGAAATTTGCATACAGACAAACACATATGCCTCAAAGTTTTATTTTTCAGAATTAATAATTCTCTTAAAACAATGAACTACGATTTAAAAGGATACTGCCTAAAAACTGACATATAGTCCAAGAGGTTATCCCTCTGTAGGGATAAGAAAAACTATGATGGTCAAACTGCAGCTTCCAAACTGTCTCTTCTGTTGTGTCATTAAAAACATGTCAAATGACACAGAGCAAAGATATACCATCTGAAGCTATGAACAAAGTATAAATGCTCAGAATTATGGGTGGGAAAAACCTTGAATTTGATTTACCTCTTCCATTTCAACCACAAATCCAACTCTCTCTTAAACCAGTCAGCTCTGGAGCGAGAGGCAGTGGGGATTGAAGAATGTGCTGTGGGTTATGGATATCCTAAGAGAAAAAGCTGGCGGTACAGGGCTTCATCAGCAAAGGCTCCAAGCTAGATCCAAAGGCACTCAATAGGAGGGAGAGGGGCTCTACTCCTGGGGATGGGGAATGAGACCAGAAAGAAGGAAAAGCATTCCCTGGTATGCAGATAGGAATCAGGCAATATGCCTGCTGCTATAGTGCAGGCTGAGATGCCCACACCTCTCTGGCTTATACATTACAACACCTAAGGTCTCCTACCAGTTCAACCTGAGCCCCTACACATATAAATAACAAGTCTCATATAAATATAAATAACAAGTCTCAGGGTAGCAAAAATAAGAATGAACACATACCTAATGAATCTTCTGGAAGAGACAGATTAAATATTGATGTCAAAAACAGTATGATTACTTAAGAAGAATCAAACAGAATATGAAAAATAAATTCTAGGAAAAAAAGTAGAAATACAAGCACTGAAAACAATGGCAAAATAATGGAGGTCTGAAGAACAGTTGGAGGCAACCTAACATACCATACATTTCAGAGGCGTATACAGAAGAAGGAAACAGAAAAGACAGAAGAGGCAATCGTGAAGGCTGATGTGGAAGAAGTTTCTACAAACTAAAGATGTGACTGAAGTGCAACCCCATAGGGTTCTTCAAAATGCAGACAAGACTAGTCATAAACAACACACCCAGAACAGTACACTAAAGTTGCTGAACTTTAAGGATAAAAAAAAAAGTGACATGTTACAAGGAACAATAATTACTCAAAAGAAACAGACTCAAATTAACATTGGATTTTTTCATTTGTAACACAGGATTCTAAAACAAAGTAACACAACATCTGGATGACTGTGAGAAAAAGAAGAGCAGTAATCCCTCTCACCCTCAGGAGCTATCTTCCAAGACTCCCAGGAGATGCCTGGATAAAACTGAACCCTACGCACACAATGTTTTCTCCTATACATATGTACCTTTGATAAAGTTTATTTTATAAATTAAGCACAGTAAGAGAAATCATGACAATTACATAATAAAAATAGAACAATTATGCAATATATTGTAATAAAAGCTATTTAGAAGTTATGAATGGTTCATTGGGGAATTTTCCATCTGATACTTTTCTTCCATCATTGATCACATACTTGAAACCATGGAAAGAAAAGCCACGGATAAGGGAGAACTACTGTACAACCCAAACATCCTGCACCTGATGCGAACTATCTGCCAGCACTTAACAATTCAAGGAGCACAATCCCCCTGCCGCATCTAAGAAAGGGACTAGAGAAGGGATTCTAACCAAATGAAAATCAAATTAGAAAAGAAATACTTTATGTATGGAAAGATGAAAGGGAAAGAAATGGAGTGCAATGTATCACGTGCTCTTTATGAATTAAATCTAAATGAATAATA